ACAAACAGGCCTATAGTGGAAAAGTTCATTAACCTCATATTAGACGGATCGAGGTTCACAATCTACTAGCCATAAAGAGTTTGGGTTTCAATATATATAATTAAAAAAAGAACAAAACAAAACAACCCTCACTCGGCAAGAGCATGTTTTTAAGCAAAAAAATTATGAATCTCAACTCTCACCATAATTTTAAGTTATGGTGCAAAATGGTCCTTTGACAAAGCAAAATTGCCATAAATCATGACCTTGTTTAGAGTATGGCATTTCACAAAAAGAATGATATTCCATATTGTTGATTATAGAAAACATGTGACTATGGGAGGAAACAACCAAATAATTAACAAATAGTTGGTTAATTGTTTGACTAACTATTTGGTCATATTTGATTTGGAAGTTCATTTAACACTAAACAAATAATATTTAGTATTCGAGTTCATTAACAAATATAATTTAACTAAATGTATATTCGATTCATTTGCTTATCAAATATTCATTTAAAATTTGAGCACTCATAATTTGTATTGTTACACATATGATGTTATATCTTCAATCCGCTTATACTTTCTACTTAAATTCTATATACTAATTTTGAGAGCCTTAAAATCTTAAATAAGTTTTCTAATGAAATATTCAGATAAAATATATATACATCATAACTATATAATAATTGTCACTTATGAATTTAAATACTATTTAAAAATTAAGTTCTTTAGCAGAATAAATATATTTTTACATTCGATAAATATTCATAAATATTTATCAAATACCTAGTATTCGAATTCGACCTCGAAAAACTCTAGACATGGATATTCGAGTTTGGGTTCGTATTCGATAATTTAAGAGAAATACAAATACGAATATCTTAGCATTCTATTCAATTCATTTATTTACCACTCCTACACGTAACCCCTGAAAATGATATTTCCCCTCAAATAACTTTACTTTTAAGGATTATAAATACCACAATTCATAGGAAATTTATAATAAAAGGTTAACAGAAGTTTTATTTATTTATTAGTATTAGTATTATTTTATTTTATTTGATTTTGGTGACAACAAAAAGTTAACAGGATAGATACGGCAACGGTGCAAGTGATCCATAAAACTACTCCATGAAGTGTTTTTTATTTTTCTCCATGAACTGTTAGTCCAAAGAAATTCCCACAGGCAAAACATAGAAACTAAACATTGCACATCATCAATTTACATTATTTATGGGGAACAAATCAGAACATTAATTATTAACTTATACCTACATCATGTACATTTAAATCTGCATCTTCTTGTTTTCTTGAAGCTGGATGGCTGCATCAAAGCCAAATTCTTTTCCAGGAACAAATATTTGTTCAAGCTCTTCATAGCTCTGCTCAACTCTCAGATCCTTGCTGACCTTTAAACCTTCCTGTAGCATTGCAAAATGACTCATTATACCTATAATTTAAATAGAAAACATCTTTTGAAGGTTCAGAAGATCGGTACACTGATAGCAACATCATAGTTTTAAATTAGCAACTTATTGCAATTCTAGTAACACATACTATGACGATTCTTAGCTCAGTTTTTTTTTTCAAGTTACCAAGAAATGTTTTCATCTCATAGGACCTTTCTATATGCATCAGTAGAGAGAGGAAAAATCCACTTTAAGGTGATATTAATTCCTAAGGAAGCGAGGGAAAGAAAAACGATGGAATCAATGAATTGCATTCCTGTGTTTTTTTACCAGTTATTTATCTCCTTCTTTATCCTTTTCCCCCCAACTCTTCTCTAATGAGGGGCCAAAAGAAAATTTTCCATCTTCCTAGATTGTTAACTAGCCATTCACCAGTAATTAAGTAGCAAAAGGAAAAAGTATTTCCTTTATAGTAATGGTAGCAAGTAATTTGCAATACAAGAAAAATAAGCAGTACCTTTGCGACGCATTCAGCTGTAGTGGAATTGATAATTTTCTTGATTGAGTGCTTAATTAACTTTGGACGGTCCAAGAATGTCAAGGAGGATATCTTTAGGGATCTAAAGTCGAAGAAAACTTCAGTTTGCATGAATACATAAATTAGATAAAGGCGATGGTTCGAGTAGGTAACTTACACCGGTGTATTACCTGAATTTCAAATTGTTCGTGATGCATAGGGAAACACAAACCAAGAATAACAGGGTTAGTTATCTTCTAATAAGTTCCGATAAACAAGATTATCATTACAGAAGAATAAGTAAAGCAAAGAATTTGAAGCATGGAAAGAGCATAAATGATAAATCCGTAAATTGCCTAAAAGAGTCAATTTAGTAAAGGATATTAAGGGGAAATGGCAGAATATATTCTGTTCATGGAGGAATGCCAAAAGAAAATAATACTCTTACAAGATGCTATACAGATCCTATACGAATTTGGATCCTCTCCACTACCAAATCTAGCACTCGCCATACCCCCGATGAATTGAATTCATTACTAATTTGCACTCAAAGAAAAAATCACAATTATCCACTAGATAATAAATGATTGCCATAAGGTAGTGCCGTAGTGGTCTCTCCACTATTTTCTTGGCAGTGGAGAGGATCCGGACCCATGTTAAGCAATCTTCTGTAGATACATAAAAGGAAACCGACTGCCTTTGAGTACTTGCACAAGGGAGAAAATTAAAATAGTACTAATTCCAACATAAGAAAAATATCATAATCTCAGTCAAATTTTTGAAGATACCGCTGAATGATGAAATCGTTTTAGGTTGTGAGGCATGATCACATCAGTATCACATTATCTTCCTCCAAGCAACATACATATTTGACTTCGATCAAAAGTATGTGAAATAACTAAAAGCAAGCAAAGGTACCTCCTTTCAATCTTTTAAAACCAGGAATAGGTTGTGCAGCCTCTACTAGCTTGGAGAAAACATCATCGAAGATAGCTTGTGTCTTTGAACCAGATGCATCAACTCTCACCTGCTCTTTTATAAGCACATTGCATCAGCTGATGTTCTGATTAAGAAAAACAGGATAGTAGGCCACCTTCATGAAATCGAACAACTATATACCATGTAAGAATTCTATTCTTGAACTTTATCGCAATAAAATGAAATGAAATTACAACAAACATTATAATACCTTTATATCTCTATCTTCATGTGTAAGAGCAAAAACTGTGAAGTCCTTAGATTGAGACTTGGAGTTGGTATCATGTCGAATTTCCAAACCTAATGTGAATTTAAATCAGGATATAAACAGATTATAGAAGCTTAATGAACAGACAATCATTAGGAGATACACGGGGATGACATTATTATTATTATTTTATTGCTTTTCTTTTGTCTTGGGGGTGGGGGGTGAAAAAAAATACATGCCTGGAGATGCTGCACAAACAAGGCTGAAGTACCTGTTACAGATGTTGCGGAGAAAGCATCAGAAGTTTATATAACCTAATAGAGAACTTATTCTCCTAAATTTTGGGTTTCAGATACAAGTATGAATGGTAAACAGAGTATTTACTGAACCGTAAGAAAATACTACCTAAAATCATATATATCAACCAGGAGGAAAGGAAACAAGGATTAAACTTATACAGTTACAATGATATAACATAGAGTTGATCATCCATAGACATTCTCTGAGGATTTTCTGCGGTTCTGGATGGATACTGGAATCAAGGTTTTAAATATCGGATATCGGGGAAATATCGGATGGCCAAAATTCATATCGGATTGCGGATATCGGGGAAATATCGGGGATATGTGGTAAATATCGGAATGCCATAATGAATGTTTGCATACATAGTATAATGCATTAAAATGTAATCTCAACATATGTAATGAAATTTAAGCATACAAAATATGAGTAATATATGTTTAGGATCACTAATCAACCTTCTAAAACAAACAAAAGTGCGAAGCAACGTTGCAACATTCGATCTACTTTTTTTAGGGCAAAATGTCATTTTGATATAATGGGGAAATCTTGATATCTCGCCCAAAAATTCCAAACACGGTATATTATTTTGCAACAAGCTATATAAAAAGATATATTGGTCCACATATCGGCTAATATATCGGCCATATCGGGGATTTATCACTCAAAATAGCCAAAAAGCGGTAAAGTATATTTAAAGACCATATCGGTTGCGGCAAGCCCTGTAAAAGGATATATCGGGGGATATATCGGGCCATGTGGGGGATATTTAAAACAATGACTGGAATAGAAGAATATTTCCTATTATAAACTGTAAGAAGCCTTTAAAGCTTTCAAAATTCCATCTATTCCAATCCAAAAGTTGTGTCAAGAATTACATCAGAAATCTCATTTTGGTATAATTGCTCCAGTAGTTTGTCAGTGATTAAGTCATAAGTCGCGTGGCAGGATACGTATCTTTCAAAGCCAACCATGCACAAAGAAAGATGAAAGGTAAAAGATTGAAAAAAGAAACCTAGTTTGCCTCATCTTCTCTAAAAGCTAACGTGTCAAGATAACAGTGGAACAACAAGAATATTATAGAGAGTGAAAAAAGGAGAGATAGTTCAATCATATAAATCTAATTACTGTAAAAATGTAAAACCAAGGAAGTGTTGCATTACAAGTAAAAAAGAAAAATAATTCCTATGTTAAATGAAAACATTGAACTTTAAAATATTCCTCACCTTCTATGATGTTCCTCAGAAACATTTCTCATATAATTAAAGATTCTCGTCTTCTGCAAGGATTGAACTCTAGTATGAAAGTGTATTCGTTGTTATCGACCCGTTGTCTGCAAAAAAGAAGTCCTCAGACAAAACTAAGGAATAGTCATTGATATGTTAGCAATTTCTCTTTTAGTGTAGGAGCTGCCCATAAGAGCGTTTCTGTCGGGACCTACTCAAAAAATAGCTAATGTATACTGTTCTACACAAACATAACAAATAATGGAAGAGATAGGTCAACTGTATATTTATGACTACATGTAACGAAATTTTATATATGTTAGCAGCAAAATAGTTATATATGTTAGCAACACAACAGAATAATACGCGCCCCGGAAGGAATAAATGAAAATGAAAGAGAAAACAACGACAGAAGCACAAGAATTTAACAAGTTTCAACAATCAATGTGATTACCTACGTCCTCGGAATATACCATAACAATTCCACCACTAATCAACAAAGATTACAGTCAATCTCTAAAACCCTAATCACGTCCCTTTCTCGACTCTATTTTTTCTATTTTTTTGACACAACTTCAACATGCGGCTGATTATAGCATAGGGCTTCAGTCTATAAGGCCGCTGCCAGAGTAGGCACGTTCAATTCTAGGTCCCAGTGCTATGTTTTCTCCATGTAAATCAGGTTTCAGAAACAACAATGCCCCCTAACCATCTCAATTAAACTCTTCAGATTAAAATAAATATATGCCTATTTTAACTGAAGAGAATGCTTTCTGCATTGAGTTCGTAGAATTACTACAACCAAGATTTGGTCAAGAGAAACAAAAATTCGACGAGAAGAGGTAGAATACCTTCTGCTTTCAGATAGCTCCTTTTCAAGTTAATCACAATTTCTCTTTTAGTGTAGGAGCTACAACAGATGCTCCAATTTCAACAGTGTGACGAAGGCATACTAACAAGCAATCTAACAGTACCTGTATTTACCTTCAAATCAACATTGACTTTGCTGTAATTGTCTTAGATGTATAATTATCACTGCTCTCTCCCAATCATTATCATCACTAACCTCAAATTGGACTAGGAATGAACAAGAAAGGGGAAGAAAATAAAGCACTTTTACTCGCCATAATAGGTATCAAAATCTTACTGCAGATATTAGGGGGGAAACTCTATAGTTGCATGCATAAGTGCAATCCCATTACACACAATAAGAAATTAAATAATAAACCTCTAACTACTAGAAGCAATTGATGTACATGTCTTATGTGCGTATTTTCATCAGAAAAAGCTCTGAATTCAAGAAAAAAGTGTTGGTTTCGGGAGTGGAGAACCAAACCTGGAGTCAAAATCACAAACTGCACAGAAATTCCCTATCGGTCGACCGACACAAGCCCATCGGTCGACCGATGTACCTTCTGCTTTCAGATAGCTCCTTTTCAAGTTAATCACAATTTCTCTTTTAGTGTAGGAGCTACAACAGATGCTCCAATTTCAACAGTGTGACGAAGGCATACTAACAAGCAATCTAACAGTACCTGTATTTACCTTCAAATCAACATTGACTTTGCTGTAATTGTCTTAGATGTATAATTATCACTGCTCTCTCCCAATCATTATCATCACTAACCTCAAATTGGACTAGGAATGAACAAGAAAGGGGAAGAAAATAAAGCACTTTTACTCGCCATAATAGGTATCAAAATCTTACTGCAGATATTAGGGGGGAAACTCTATAGTTGCATGCATAAGTGCAATCCCATTACACACAATAAGAAATTAAATAATAAATTTCTAACTACTATAAGCAATTGAGGTACATGTCTTATGTGCGTATTTTCATCAGTGAAAGCTCTGAATTCAAGAAAAAAGTGTTGGTTTCGGGAGTGGAGAACCAAACCTGGAGTCAAAATCACAAACTGCACAGAAATTCCCTATCGGTCGACCGACACAAGCCCATCGGTCGACCGATGTGAAGCCAAGAAAAACTACAGGAGTTTTGGGTCGGTTGACCGACGGGCTTGCCCCGGTCGATCGAAAAACGTGCACGAGAACCCTGTAGAAAACAGAGTTCTGGACGGTCGGCCGAAGCTGCTATCGGTCGACCGATGGTGATCAACCAGTCGACCGATGCAATGCTATCGGTCGACCGAAGTCGAGCCTGACAGTTTCTGATTCGGGTTGGATTCTGTTTTTGGGTTGTGTATATATATGTTTACTAAAATATTTTTAGGGTTATGTGAGAACGTCTTTGAGAGGGTTTTGACGGTATTTTGAGATCAGAGATCTTAGAGAGAGTGTGGCCTATTACGAGCATTGTAATCTTCTTCAATTAATCAAAACTTTCTGTAGCTCCCGAGAACGTAGGCACGTTTGCCGAACCTCGTTAAATCTGATATTTTCTTCTTTTGTTCGTTCTTTCTTGTAAGTTTTCTTTTATTTGCTGTGATTTCTTACTTGCCTACTCTTGACATAAGATCCGAAAGGGCACGGATTGTCGTTTGTGTGTTCAACCCTAACAACTGGTATCAGAGCTTCGTTCGACAAAAGTTTGTGTTTTGAAAGAGATGGCAGAAGAAATCAAATCAAAGATCGAGAAGTTTGACGGATAAGACTTCGCCTACTGGAAGTCACAGATGGAAAACTATATATACCAGCAGAATCTTTACCGTCCGTTGATGGAAAAAGCTAAAGGAAAGAAGAAAGAGGAATCAGACGAGGACTGAGAAATACTGAATCGGAAGGATCTAGGGCAGATTCGGTTGTCGCTTGCTAAATCGCTCTCATAATATTTTGAAGGAGAAGACGACGGTGGGGCTTATGAAAGCGCTCGTGAAGATGTACGAGCAACCGTCAGCCACAAATAAGGTGCATCTCGTCAACACACTCTTTAACCTCAAGATGGTAGAATGATACTCCTTCATGTTGCATCTCAGCGAGTTCAACACGATCGTTGATCAACTTATCTCCATCGACATCACATTTGATGATGAAATACAGGCCCTATGGATTCTATCACAGTTATCGGATAGTTGGACAGATTACGTGACCGTAATTAGCAACTCGACGGGGAAGGAGAAGTTAAAGCTGAGCGAGATTGTCAGCATGATTCTATCCGAGGAGGTTAGAAGAAAATCGTCTGAATCAGAAGGTTCAGGCAGGAGGCTCATATCGTGCAAGATGCTTTGATCCTTGCTATGGACAGCGACTCCAACTCATAGGTTATTGATTCATGAGCCTCATTCCATACCACTACTAATAGAAAGCTTCTTCGGAACTATATAGCAGGGGACTTTAGAAAAGTATAATTGGGGGACAACGAGCCTTATAGTATTATTTAAAAGGCGACATGCAGATTCAGATGAAGGGTTCTAAGTTGAATTTGAAGAACGCCAGATATGTACCGAAACTATCGAGGAATCTTATTTCGTTTGGCCAGCTTGGAACGAAATGCTATGTTTCAACATTCACCGGGGATTCGTGGAAGATCTCCAACGGTACTATGATGGTTGTCCGCGTTAACAAAACATGAACTCTCTACCTTACTTCACATGTGAGTGACACCCTCGCAGTTGTAACTGGCAAGGAGAGTGCAGATCTGTGGTACAGTAGGCTGGGACACATGAGTGAGAAGGGTATGAAGATTCTACACTCACAGGGAAAGCTAACCCGCATCGATTCAGTTAAAATTGGTGTTTGCGAGGATTACATCTATAGAAAGCAGAAGAGGGTCAGCTTTCCGAAAAGTAAAAGACCACCTAAAGATCAGAAGCTAGAGCTTGTCCATACAGATATTTGGAGTCCAGCTAGCATATCTTCTCTTGGCGGTTCGATGTATTATGTCACATTTATCGACGATCACTCGAGGAAGGTGTGTGTATACTTCATGAAGCACAAGTCAGAGGTGTTCGGGATCTTCAAAAAGTGAAAAACCATGGTAGAGAACGAGACAAATCTGAAAATGAAGTGTCTGAAATTAGATAATGGTGGAGAATATGAGTTGGATGAGTTTAAGAAGTTCTGTGGTCTAAACGATATTCGTTTAGAGAGGACTACTTCAGGGACACCGCAACAGAATAGCATTACAGAGAGGATGAACAGGACGTTGACAGAGTGTGAGAGGAGCATGCGTTTACATGCAGGTCTACCTAAGATGTTTTGGACGGACGTGGTGCATTCGACAGCTTATCTGATTAATCATGGGCCATCGATTTCATTAGATTTTAGGATTCCAGAAGAGGTTTGGAGTGGTAAGAAGATTAATCTCTCACATTTATGAGTATTTAGTTACGTGACATATGTTCATATCAGTGACCATGTCAGGGACAAGCTAGAAGCTAAGTCACAGAAGTATACATTCATTGGATACGATATTGATAAGTTCAGATATCGTATTTGGGATGAGAAGAATAGGAAAATCATCAGGAACAGAGATGTGATATTCAATGAAGAGGTGATGTACAAGGACATGGATAATACCAATGATAGCCAAAGCAGTGGGAGCAGCACTAAGGATGTATGTGGATCTGAGTACATGGATTTGGAAGAACTTCTAGATGAGAGAGACGGTGTCAGTTCTGACCGAAAAACGAAAAAGACTCCAGGTACAGAGACTACTACCCATGACGTGGAGCTTAGGAGGTCATTCAGGATACCCAAATTGATTCCCAGATATCTTTCATCACTTGATTAATTACTTTTGACAGATAGTGAAGAACCAGAATGCTATAAGGAGACTATGTAAGTTAGTAAATCTCAGCAGTAGGAATATGCGATGCAAGAAGAGATGAATTCTCTCCACTCGAACGAGACATGGGAGTTAGCCCAACTACCTGCACAGAAAAAACCTTACATAATAAGTGGGTCTACTGAGTCAAGCAGGAGAGTGATGGAAGTAAGAGGTACAATGCCAGATTAGTTATGAAAGGGTTCCAACAGCGGGAAGGAATGGACTATACGAAAATATTTTCCCCCGTCGTGAAGTTTACAACCATTAGAATGATGTTGAGCTTAGTAGCTACTAAAAATTTCTATCTTAAACAGTTAGATGTGAAGACTATCATTCTTCGTGATGAGTTGGATGAAAAAATCTACATGAAGCAACTTGTTGGCTTTGTAGAAGAAGAAAAAAAAGAGATGGTGTGTAAGCTCAAGAAAAGCTTGTATGGTTTAAATCAGGCTCCGAGAAGTTTGAAACAGGTTCCAAGATAATGGTATAAAAAGTTCGATAACTTCATGCAGAGCAATGGCTATGGAAGATGCAATTCAGATCATTATTGCTACTTCAAGAGGTTCAAGTCTAGCTATATCGTGTTATTATTATATGTTAATGACATGTTAGTTGCAGGATCGTATTTAGAAGAGAAAAATAAATTAAAAAAGCAGCTAGCGAAAGAGTTTGCTATGAAGGATCTGAGTACAACGAAGTAAATTCTTGGATGTGAATCAGTCGAGATGAATCCGAAGGGACGTTGAAGTTGAGTGAGGCTGAATACATCGAGAATGTTCTTCAAAGATTCAACATGGAGAATGTCAAGCTCGTTGACACGCCCCTTAGAAGTCAATTCAAGTTATCTGAGGAGCAATCGCCCAAGACAAATACAGAGGGGAAACATATGAGCAGAGTGTCATATTCATCAGCCATTAGTAGTCTTATGTACGCAATTGATTTGCACAAGGTCGGATATCACCCATGTAGTAGGAGTTATGAGCAGGTTTGCAAGCAATCCAGGGAAACAACATTGGAAGACCGTGAAGTGGATATTATGATACTTAAGAGGAACTACGAATATGTCACTGTGTTTCAGGAGGAAGAAATTGATACTATAGGAATACGTGGATGCAGATTTCACTGGTGATCATGATACGAGGCGAAGTACCATGGGGTATGTTTATACCTTAGCATCGACAGTAGTGAGTTGGGTCTCATGTTTGCAGAAGATAGTAACATTGTCCACGACTGAGGCAGAGTATGTCGCAGTGACTGAAGCCAGTAAGGAGATAATTTGATTGATCGGGCTCTTTATTGTGATAGCCAGAGTGCTATACACATTGCCAAGAATCCAGTATATCACGCTAAAACGAAGCACATCAATGTACATTACCATTTCATATGCTCGCTGATAGAGGATGAGAAGTTACAGTTGGAGAAGTTTTGGGAAGCCAAAATCCTGCAGATATGTTGACGAAAGCAATGATTATCGAGAAACTAGAGTTGTGCGTAATTTTAGTTGACCTTCACGCGTAGGAGACGAAGGCGAAGCCACACTAAGAGGATAGACGGGATTGCCACGATGATATTGTTTGAAGAATAGAATTTTTCCGGGTAGGAGAAGATGTTTGTGAAGATGGCGGAAGTTCAGGTGAGCTCGTTAATAGCAGTTTGATCTCCAAGTAGGAGATTGTTGGTTTCGGGAGTGGAGAATCAAACCTAGAATCAAAATCACAAACTGCACAAAAATTCCCTTATCGGTCGACCGACACAAGCCCGTTGGTTGACCGATGTGAAGTCAAGAAAAAGTACAAGAGTTTCAGGTCGGTCGACCGATGGGCTTGTCCCGGTGGACCGAAAAACGTGCACGAGAACCCTGTAGAAAACAGAGTTTTGGACGGTCGACCAAAGCTGCTATCGGTCGACCAATGGTGATCAACCGGTCGACCGATGCAATGCTATCGATCGACTGAAGTCGGGTCTGGCAGTTTCTTTATTCGGGTTGGATTCTGTTTTTGGGATGTGTATATATATATTTCCTAAAATGTTTTTAGGGTTATGTGAGGACGTCTTTGAGAGGATTTTGACGGTAATTTGAGATCAAAGATCTTAGAGAGAGTGTGACCTATTGTGAGCATTGTATTCTTCTTCAATTAATCAAAACTTTCTGGTGTGGCTCCCGAGGATGTAGACACGTTTGCCAAACCTCGTTAAATCTGACGTTTTATTTTTTTTTCGTTCTTTCCTGCAAGGTTTTTTTATTTGATGTGATTTCTTGCTTGCCTACTCTTAACACAAGATCCGGAAGAACACATGTTGTCGTTTGTGTGTTCAACCCCAACAAAAAGGAGATTAGTTGTGTCAAAATGAGGGTAACTCAAGTTCTATAATTTTGAATGATAAATTGATTTTGAAAGGAAAGAACCAAAATTTTTAGAGCTAATGGATTCAAATCAAAACAAGATTGAAACTTGATAGTCTATCATACCTCAGGATTCAAACCCATGAAGAGAGTTCTAGCAGCCGCCTCCATCTGCTCTCTCTCTCTCTCTCACTCCCAAAAAACCCCAAATAAAATAGAAATACGAACAGTGCCACTCTATCTCCAGCTTACGCTGAGGGCAGTCGTTCCGCTGGAACCGTTTAAGGGACAAATTTTCAAAACCGACCACTTTGGGATTTTAATTGCAAAAAACGACCCATTTCAATCTTATTTATAAAAACCGACCCAGTTGGTTGAAACTGGGTCGGTTTTTAAAAAAAAATTTCCCAAACTTCACGGGAGTTCAACTCCCGTGAAGTTTTGTTATGAGAAAAACTTCACGGGAGTTCAACTCCCGTGAAGTTTCCCAAAAAAAATTACAAAAACCGACCTGTTTTCAGCCCCTGGCTGAAAACAGGTCGGTTTTTGTAAATATTTTCAAAACCGGTTGTTTTTTGCAATTAAAAACCCAAAAGGGTCGGTTTTGAAAATTTGTCCACCGTTTAAGCTTACCATGTTGCGCTGTCTACCCCTGGACATCATCGTAAATAATAGAAAGTCTGGGCGTGTTTCGGTAGCAGTTCAGATAGAATAGAGCAGCTGCGCCTGGAGAAGCCCGTTACTTCGTTGCTGGGGTTTTTGGGAGAAATGGCTGCGATGTCGATGACAGTATTATATGCGAAGCTCCCTTTTCAGCGAAATCACTCGCTTCTTAACTATCGAGTATTTTCTTTTCCTATTTTGGCATTTGTTTTGCTTTTTATTCATGATTAATTATGCATTTTAATTTTCCAACAGAACCAAGTTATCACACTTTTTCTTTGTTTATTTTGGGTTTCGTTTTATACGTCAAACTTGAGAAGGAATACAGTTGATTTCAACCTGTAATGGTGACTTGTAAATAGATTGAAAGGTCATTATGTTCCCTAGAAGTCTAGACTCCTTGAAGTTTGGGAAAAACTAGAACCCCCAAACTTTGGTGGTGTTGCCTATAACCGCCGAACTTTGTTTATCTCACATAACCCCCATGACTTTGGGGTGTTTCACAAAACCACCTTGAACTTTGAACCATTCTCACCGGGTCCCCTTGCATATAATTTGCAAAGAACTAAACTTTCACTGAGAGAGAAAAAAAAATCCAAAATTTACAGGAGGGGGTATGATGCTTGTAAATGACAAATGACGGAGTTTGGAAGTTTTTCCCTCAACAAAATTTTAGTTATTTACAATTTACATATGCAGATGTCAGGTGAGAAAAGGTCAAAGTTCGAGGGGTTTTGTAAAACAACCCAAAGTTTGGGAGGGTTATGTGAGATAAACAAAGTTCAATGGGGTCATGTGCAACACCCCCGTAAGTCAGGGGGTTTTGTAGAATTAACCCAAAAAGTAATGTTTTTGCAAAATTTTGTTTGAAATAACAAGATCACTTAGAACGAAATCTAGTCTAGTTTCAATCATGTTAATGTCATATTGTAGTTTATGTCAATCTTAGACATTGTTTGCTAATGCTACTTCTTTAAATTTCTGGGAATAATGATCTTGCTCCAGGAAAAATCGATGAAAATGTTAGATCAGTGCTGGTCGTCCAATTCTTAATCATGGGCTATAACAAAGAAAGAAAAGGTGAAACCAAGATAAAGGAGAGAAGTAAGAATCTAGATTTTGAGAAGAAAGATACTCCTGAGTGACTATTTATTCTAGTAGACATAGAACCAAGTTTGTGTGCTTTTTTCTTTGCTAGGCCATTCTGTTTGTAATCTATTGTTGATTCTCTTTGTTTCGTCTTGTCTGTTCTGATTTGGGTTAGACATAATTTATAATCGCAGGTTACAGTTGCAAGTAATGTGAAAAGCAGCATTAGACTAAGTGGAATTAAGAACAATGTGTTCCTCCAAGATGAATCAGAAGTTTCACTTAGAAGGTAAAAAAGTTAGTTATATTTAACTTTTTATCACAGGATTTAACCTTATATTCTTGTTTTCTACCAAAAAGAGCAACTAATATCTTACCACGGCCCTTGCCTCAGAGTTCGGAAGGTTATGCATCTTTGGTAGTCAATGGCGCAATTTTTAGACCGGTTGTATTGCAAGTGAGGGGTGAGAAAAGGAAACTAGATCGAGGATTATAAGCAGACTTTGTCTTTTATCTATGTTTCATTTAAAATGACGAATTATACCTGGAAATTTTAAATTCCCCCAACCAAAAACACGCACCTCATGCTTAAGAATCCTCTACCACCTCCAAAAAGTACCTGTATCATGTCAAATCGTTTCAGTCAATAACTACCAGCAAATGTATCCTGTATTCCAAACTAGTGACAGACAAAAGAGAAACAATCTATCAAGGTTTTAAATATCGGTTATCGGGGGATTTATGACAGTCAAAGTCCATATCGAATAGCGGATATCGGGGATAAGTAGTATTTATCGGAGAGACATTACTAGATGGTGATATACATAATATAATATTCTAAAATGTAATTCAACTATTCTTAATAAAATATAAACATACCGATAATTCCGATTTTTGGGCCGACAATATCGACCGATAACTTACTTTATCGCCGCATTATCGGCGACAATCATCCAAAAACGATAACCGATTTAAAATTGAGCTTATCATAGCGGAAGGCCCCCAAAACCGATAAATCGTTGATAATATCGGTTTATCGGCCAATATTTAAAACATTGCAATCTAGGACATAATTTACCATGTGTAGGTAGATTGAGTGAGTAGATTGGATTTTTGGCTAAAATTGTGTTGCTGAGGTGGATGGTATTTGATATCAACAAACAATATTAATCTTTACCTTTTATGTCATCATCTAATTTTTCTAGTCTTGGAGAATATAGACAGTTGCTCTCTCTTGCACAAGCTTAAATTGCATAACCACTGAAGTTGCTTTCTTTGACCAAATTTCTTTTCTAGATTGAGCAGATTCCTTTGTTTATCTCAGTGTTTTTTACTAGATTTCTTGTTTTAGTTTTTAATATATTCCATTGTACATTAACAAATGGCGTAATTATCTTTTATTACTTTCAGTTTATTAGTTTCTCCTGGAAGAAGCTTAAGTCACTTTCCCTGGCCCATATCTGCAGTTGGCTCAGGTTCTTTTAACCTCAAGATGTCTTTAATTTTGCAGATTGATATCTGTTATGCATAGCATCCTCCACAAATGCCTACTTGCACTTGTTGGCTTCGAAATTAAATTCATTGTTTATGATTATAGGTTTAGAAGCATCGATCACAGATCAAAACAAGAATGACATATCACTGGACAATGTTAAGATAGTCGTCGAGTCACGTGATGATGATAAGATTGAGGTGAGATTGTAACTTGAATTTCAGTCATAGTTTACATATAATATCATTCTAATAAATGATAGTTCTGACTGTGAAGATGTTTACTTCTGGGTAGGTTTTGGTCGTAATTGTGAAATATACCCTTATTCCTAGGTATTCTTGATAAATGTCATTTATTGCAATCCCATTTTGCCTAAAATTTGAAGTTATAAGCCTCTGTCTCTTTCTACTTCAAATATTACCCCTTTTCTACTCATAAATCAGTATGGTATCATCAACAAAATATATGCATAAGGGGTCTTTACCATTTACTTTGAATATGCCTGGGATTTCATGCATACTAGTCAAAGAGATGTGAACCTTTGAACCCCTGATACAAGGCTATGGTACTAGGATGGTCTGTTTCCGCTTTCAATTATTTTCATGATTGTTACTATCATAATTTATGTTCTTAATGAATTTATACCAATATCAAGCTAATGTTACTTATAAATGTTGAAAAAACTCAGTTGATGGTCGGAATGAAATAGAACTCTGGATAGACCACATAGTTACCTGCAAATAACTGAAGACAAACAATCTTACTATTTGTGAAGAATACTTCAATTGACGTGGTGACAGCTTTGAGAATTTCATAATAAAATCTCTGCGTTGTTTTGAAAACAAGCGCTATTTAACTATAAAAAAGAAGCACCCATTTTTTTCCATAGCCACACCTAGCTTTTATTTGTCAAATTTAGCAAGTTAAGATTTTTGAGACTGATGAAGATACAGCGTTCATCATCTTTTGGTTATTAAGTAGTAGTAGTTTCATGAATATTCTACCTTTGTGTAACTGGTATTTTATCAGTCAAAATAATCACGATTAGATGGAGACTAAGGGCTTTAAATGAGAAGCTTTGTACTATCTCGATTATTCGGTTTAATTTCTTGAAGATTTTAGCTTATGAATTTGGAATCCTAGGGCTTCTTCCTCATCCTTTAAGAAGACAAATTGCTTCAATCATCTCATGCCTTTGCCTTTCCAAACACTATCTAACCAACTTGTGAAGCAATGAGATCAAGTTGCTATATCAATATCATTTGATTTGATGTGGAAGTTAGATATATGAGAAATGTGTTAGATTAAGTCTATTGGGTATTGGGTTAATGGGCTGTGACCCGTTAACCATACCCCTATTTGTATGACTATATATATATCTCTCTAGTATCTGAATAAATCAATGAAGTTAGGGTTTTTGCTCTCTCAATTATCTCTTTCTACATGGTATCAGAGCTTGAAACCCTAGCCAGCTTTCTCCAAGCAAGGGGGGTTTATTGGTTGAGGATTGTTGATTTGGACTCGGACTTTTTATTGGATTTTAATTTAGGGTGTTATTTGTTTTGAACTAGAATTTGGATTTAAATTTAAGGTGTTATTGGTTTAGGACTAGGATTCGGATTTGAATTTAATGTGTTATTAGTTTAGGACTAGGTTTTGACATCTACTACTCCTGTTGTTGCTGGAGAAACCTCTGCGCCAAAAGTAGTCTTGGGGACTACAATTAAGTTGAATGGTACTAACTATCTGCTCTGGGCACAAGCTTTCCGGATCTTCATTGGCGCTCAGAGCAAACTGCCTCATCTTCTGGCATCTCCACCACCACCATCTGATCCCACCTACAACTCATGGCTCTCCTCTGATTACTGTGTTATGACTTGGCTTCTCAACAGTTTGGATGCACAGATCAGTAGCAGTGTTATGTTTTTAACCACTGCAAAGGAAATGTGGGACAGCCTGAAGATTATGTACGGGAATGAGAAGAATGTTTCCCGTGTTTTTGAGATTTATGAGAGACTATTTGCGATCAAACAGGGCGATAAGACAGTTCCAGAGTTCTTTGGTGAGTTGAAGGGACTGATAGACGAACTAGAAATGCATCAGCCTGCAGTAGCTGATGCGGCGACATTGTTGGGGTATCGCCGCGATCTGGCTGTCTCCAAGTTTCTTTCTGGACTGCACCCTAATTTACAGTCTCAGGTACGGGGACAAATATTGGGTGGCGATTCGATTCCCTCCCTGACTGCTACATTCTCCAGAGTCATGCAGGTCTCTACTGGTGTTTCTTCTGATACTTCTGCACCGTCTCCACCTTCATTGGATCAGTCTGCCATGTTCTCTAGTAGAGGCAGAGGCCGCGATCGTGGTCGTGGTCGTGGTCGTGATTCTTTGGGAGGACGTTGCTCTTTTAGTGGGAGACAGGGTGATTCTGATAGGGGTTCACGTCAGTGTGGTCATTGTGGGAGGACCAATCATATTTCTGAGAAATGCTGGGAGAAGTTTGGTCGTCCTCAATGGGCCCAAGTAGCCGATGCCGAGTCGACTCGCTCACCTATTTCTACTATTATTTCTAGTAATCCAGCTACTACTGTTCCTACTGTTCAGATTTCTCAAGTAGATTATGAGAGGTTACGCCAGCTAGAGATCTCTCAGAACAGTCATTCGGCTACTCATGCATCCTCTTCAGGTATGGATGCTTACATAGCTTCTCCTCATGAACCATGGGTACTAGATTCTGGAGCCTCATCCCATATGACAGGTATAAAGGATCGTTTTGTCTCTTTACATCTTTCTGATAAGCTTCCCTCTATTCGCATCGCTGATGGTACACTTTCTCCAGTTCTTGGTGCCGGAGTAGTTCATGCTACTTCCTCTTTGAAACTCACTGATGTGTTATATGCTCCTAAATTCCCTGTTAGCTTATTATCCATTAGCAAGTTTACAAAGCACAATAACTGTAAAGTCACCTTCTTTCCTTCTTATTGTGTTTTTCAGGACCTAGCAACTGGGATGACGATTGGTTCGGGGCATGAGAGAGGAGGTATGTACTATTTGGACGACAGTGTGCCGGGTGCTGGTCTTGTTGCAGCACAGCCTGATTCTACCTTACTGTGGCACTGGCGTCTGGGTCATCCTTCACTACAGAAACTTAGATCGGTAGTTACTGTTCAGTCTTCCCTTTCTTCTTTAGGTTGTGAGTCATGTGAACTGGGTAAGCACCATCGTGCTTCTTTTCAGAGTCGTGTCGATAAAAACGCAGTAGTTGCGTTTGAGTTAGTTCATTCTGATGTCTGGGGTCCTTGTCGTGTTCCCTCCGTGAAGGGTTTTCGATATTTTATTGTTTTTGTTGATGATTTCTCTCGCATGACTTGGCTATATTTGTTGAAAGAGAGGTCTGAAGTCTCGCATGTTATTGAACTTTTTTACAATGAAATAAAAACCCAGTTCTCTACTTCTGTTCATATTCTTCGTACTGATAATGCTTTGGAATATATGAAAAATGACGTTTCAAAATTTTGTGCTCTTAATGGTATTATTCATCAAACTTCATGCTCTCACACTTCACAACAAAATGGAGTTGCTGAGAGGAAGCATAGACATATTCTCGATGTTGCTAGAACACTGATGATACATATGAATATTCCAAAGTACTTGTGGTCGGATGCTGTCCTCACTGCCTGTTATTTGATTAATCGCATGCCTTCCTCTGTTCTTGATGGTTTGATACCATTCCACTGTCTTTATCCTGCTAAAAAACGTTTTTCTGTGATTCCTCGAGTTTTTGGTTGTACGTGTTTTGTTCAGGATTTGACTGCTGGTTTGGATAAATTGTCTCCTAGGTCCATTAAGTGTGTGTTTGTTGGATACTCACGTACTCAAAAAGGGTATAGGTGCTATCATCCGACCACCAGGAGATATTTTGTTTCTGCTGATGTTACCTTTTTTGAGTCTGTCCCATATTTTTCCTCTGGTTCCACTACCTCTGTCAGTCCACAGGTGCCACTACCTTCTACGGCTCCCACTACTATTCCGATATCTGCTCCTGTGGCTACTGCACCAAAGCCTCTACTGACATACTCTCGCCGTCCTAAAGTACATACACCTGTCTCTGCTCCTGCTGACTCTTCTTCTCCAGCTGCAGGTCCATCTCATGTCGAGCCTCATATCTCTTCTGACTTAGATGTTCCTATTGCTCTTCGTAAAGGTAAACGGTCTTGCCCAAAATATCCTATCTCTCTTTTTGTCTCTTATGACCGTCTCACCTCATCATTTCGTCAGTTTGCTTTGTCATTGTCCACTATATCTTTACCCAGGTCACATGAGGAAGCTTTGTTAGTACCCGCCTGGAAACAGGCTATGGATGAGGAGATGAATGCACTGCTTTCTAGAGGGACTTGGGATTTGGTCTCTCTACCTGCTGGAGCGACTGTGGTTGGCTGCAGATGGGTGTATACCTTGAAATATCATCCTGATGGGTCTGTTGATAGATATAAAGCTCGCCTGGTTGCTAAAGGATATACCCAGACATATAGTATTGACTATTTTGAAACCTTTTCTCCCGTTGCTCGTCTCAACTCCATCAGAATTCTTTTCTCTTTGGCTGTTAATATGGATTGGGCGATGCACCAACTAGATGTGAAGAATGCTTTCCTTTATGGTGATTTGGACGAGGAGGTTTATATGGAGCAACCTCCTGGGTATGTTGCTCAGGGGGAGAATCTTATCTGCAGGCTGAGAAAGGCCATCTATGGGTTAAAGCAGAGTCCTCGAGCTTGGTTTGATAAGTTCAGCAAGGTTATTTCTAATGTTGGTTTTCAACGTTGTCAGTCTAATCACTCTGTCTTTCTTCGACGCACAACAACTGGTTTGGTTATTTTAGCCGTATATGTTGATGATATTCTGCTGACTGGGAGTGACTCTGTTGCCTTAGCTGAGACTAAGGAGTATCTAAACCGTCATTTTGTCACTAAGGACATGGGAAAGCCAAAGTATTTTCTTGGGATTGAAGTTACATATGTCTCAAAGGAAGTATGTGCTAGATTTACTAGAAGAAGCAGGTCTCTTGGAATGCAAACCTGCAAGCACTCCAATGGAGGCAAATGTTGATTTGTGGCGTGATGATACCTCTCTACTAGATGATGCTGCACGATATAGGAGACTAATTGGGAAGCTAATATATTTAACAGTTACCAGACCTGATATTACTTTTACAGTAGGTGTGCTGAGTAGATTTATGCACAAACCTAGAGAGGTTCATTGGACAGCAGCTTTGAAGATTTTGGCATATGTCAAAAGTTGTCCTGACAAGGGATTGTTATATAAGAAACATGGGCATACTCACATTTCGGCTTTCTCTGATGCTGGCTACGCAGGAGACATGGGAGACCGAAAGTCAACCTCAGGATTTTGTACTTTTGTTGGAGGTAATCTTGTGACTTGGAGAAGTAAGAAACAAGATGTAGTATCACGATCTAGTGCAGAGGCCGAATATAGAGCAATGGCTCACACTGCTTGTGAGATGGTGTGGCTAAGAAAGTTTATGACAGAGCTTGGTTTTGTTCAGTCTGGACCCATGCCAATGCATTGTGACAACCAGTCTGCCATTTATATTGCACAGAATCCTGTGTTTCATGAGAGGACAAAACATATTGAAGTTGACTGCAATTTTGTCAGAGATGCTTGGGAGAAGAAGATAGTATTTCTCACATTCACTCCGTCCTCACAACAACTTGCTGATATTCTTACCAAGGCTACTTCTTCAAAGGTGTTTTCTACTATATGTGACAAGCTGGGCATGGTGGATATTTATGCTCCAGCTTGAGGGGGAGTGTTAGATTAAGTCTATTGGGTATTGGGTTAATGGGCTGTGACCCGTTAACCATACCCCTATTTGTATGACTATATATATATCTCTCTAGTATCTGAATAAATCAATGAAGTTAGGGTTTTTGCTCTCTCAATTATCTCTTTCTACAAAATGTATATAGACCGGGGTGTCTATTTAATTGGTATTCATATTACTTGATTAGACCTTTGAATAAATTTGAGGCTTTGCAGAGATACTGGTTTCCTTGTTCATTGTGGCACACTCCAGTGCTCCACACTCTACGGTATTCTTACTGATTTGACTCACAAGGCGGAGATTACCTTTCATTTTTTTTAAGTAACGGATTGTCTACCTTAATGCAATAAAATGGTTATATCAGCTTCTTTTCCTCTGATTTAACTTTTTGAAATGAAAATGCATATGAATGCCATTATTCATCAAGTAGTACATTCTTAATCTGATACTCTTTCTTCAGTAGTGCTGTAAGCTGTGAAACTGATAATTCGTGTAAGCTTCATTCTTTTCATTTGTAACACATTAACTTTTTGCGGAGTATTCTACAACAATGCTCATAATTGGATTATTAGGTGAGAGTTGACTTAACTGGAGAACAAACCCAAAGGGCATTTGATGATGTATTGACTAACCTGGCTCGCACAGCACCACCTATGCCTGGATTTCGTCGGAAGAAAGGAGGTAGTTTTTCTTTGTAGTTAGATATAGTTGATAGACATTTTTAGTCCTTCTTTCGCTTTTGTCCCCTGTGCATGCCTTTACGTTCTGACTCAAACTTTTCTTTTTGTATGTTATCTTGATGGTTCAAGGAAAAACATCCAATGTAAGTACATATCCTACCTTGCTAAGTTTTCTTTTGCCATTCAGTTGCTTCTATTCTTTAGAAGACTGTTTCATCTTATAATGGCATGTATGATTATTGTGACTTCTTTCAGACTTGCCTGAAGTGTAATCATAGGAAGCATGAGTAAGTTGCATATTAATTTCACTTGAACACAGTTTTGTTGAAACCGGAGTTGGTAATTCTTACAAAGTCTCTTTCATCACACCAGAACTCCATGATAGGGGTAGAGTGTGTGTAATCTTACAATCAAACATGCTCCCGCAGATTGAATGCCTTGCTCATAGGCCGAAATATGGACTATTATACACAAAAAGTATCTTCTTTTCTGAAATCCTCTTAAAATGCATTTCTAGTGGGATTTTAACCCGCGTGGTTCTAATATCATCTTAAAGTCATTTATATCATATCAAAACTCCGAAATGGTGATGAGGATCTTATATCCTCACAATAATAAAACAAATCTTGATTTCATCCCTATATGATTCATCAAGAATGCATATTTATTCTGAACTGTTGTAGGAACACTTTACATTTTTTTTAATCTTGTTAACTACTGCATTTAACTCTGTGCTTCCTATGTATCAGTATGACAGCAAGAGTATGTTATGTATGGTCCTAATATCTAGATAGCTCTTGAGACATTTTAGTTCTCATTGAAACCTGTTACAGGTTCCCAAAAGCTTTCTTTTACAAATGCTGGGGAAAGATCGCGTTACAAAATTCCTTATCCAAGAAGTTGTCAGCGCAACCATTGGAGACTTTGTGAAGAAGGTCCTTTTCTTATCTAATGTCATAGTATTCATCGATAATTCTCTTCAGAAATGATGATTCTCATTGTTATTTGTTCTCTGAACCAGGAAAACCTGACTGTTAAAAGTCAGTTCCAGACTACCCAAACTTCTGAAGAGCTTGAATCAGCATTTGCTCCTGGATCTGAATTCGGGTTTAATGCTACTATGGAGATTGTAAAATCTGAGTCTGACACAAATATAACAGATTCCTCTGATTCAGACTCCAATTCTTCTTGAGCACTCATCTGAAGATTCACAGTTTTGTATCTTCTGAGTCATCAGTGTCTGTCAGGCACTATTGCATCTTTGCTCGTGTCGATGTAAGTTTTGAGGCAAGGTGATATTTTTCAAGTATACTAATTTTACTTTGGTGAAAATATTGGAAGCAATACGTGCAAAAAATGTCAAAAAATGTGTAAATGACATGTTATCATGGGCGAATGGATATCCGTTAAGAGATAGGATATGGAATGAGCATATTCATTAGAAATTAGATATTGTTTCTATCCAGGATAAGTCTATGTTTATTGTTGTATGCCTTTTTCTTTACCTTTTTGGGAGAAAGCTTTCTGATAGTTTCAGCAGTAGGCCCATGACCAGTGAACAACAGCCTAATGAAAAGACAATGCAAATACTAAGCAATGTCTATTAAGCCCCAAAAAAAAGGATCAAAGCTAATCCTGGATGTTAGCAGCATAATCAGAATAGTTGCTTGAAATAATCATTGGCATACTAACTTCTAGTTCTCTGTTAACAAGATACAATTTCTATGTGATTTTATTGGGGTCATAATAGACTGGTCTTCAAAATGCTTACTTTTACCATGTACATATTCTAGCTCCTCACCAGTGAAGCTTCATGTCCCCATTATGACATCTGTAGATATTATCTTTTGAAAAGGCAGTGTCCTTATGCAATAAGCATGTCCACAGCACTATCATTATGATTTACATGACATGACAAAATGCATAAAGCATGTTCCTCTTTATCCATACATGGGATGCACATATCTCCCCATGGAGTTGAGATCATAAATAACTAATCCACATCAAGTAATTAATGCATAAGGTTTGTCAAATGAAACGATGGAGGACTTGGGTTATGGAAACTTTTACGTTAAAAACCTAATTATGGATTTTAATAAAACAATTGCTCCCTTGTATATTGCTAAAGGCATGTAGAATATAGACAAACAGTGATGTGAAGTCTCCATAACCAGCCTATCCTATCAACTTAAGTTGATGTCCACCAAAGTTCCTAGCCACACATTTATTAATATAAAACACATTTTTATATAATACAATGATCCCTAGGCAATATGAGTGGTTAAAAACTTTGGTGGACACACTATTCTCTATCCACTTAAGTTGACACAAGTTTTCATATATATATATATATATAAGAAATATGGGTATGCTTGGTACCAAGCACAAAAAGTTGTGCTTGGTAGTGAGGTGTCAAATCCCCCTCCCATCTTGCAAAATTTAAAAAAAGATCTGTTTAGCAAAATCGACCTCTTTTTGGCCTGTTGGCAAAAAAAAGGTCTAATTTGCTAAATATTTAGCAAAATAAGTCTATTTTGCAAATTTCTTTAAATATAAAATGTTGATAAAATCATGTACTATGTTATATTTAAAAAAGGATAGGTTGATTAAACATGCCTTTAAAATTGAAGAAAAAATATTCAAAAAATAAAATTTCCTTTATATGTTGCTAAAGGCATCTAAACTGTGGAAAAATAGTGCCAGTGAAGTATCCATAATATGATGGTGCCACCATCTGCATTTCAATCTTATCCACCTTGTTTCCTCCCTACTCTCCAATTGTTGCCTCGCCGTACTTACAATAATCATGTTCTACATATAAAAATCATTTTAATCCGTCTCGCTTCCTAAGTTTTTCTTCTCCTTTATATTTTTATATTTCATTGTACTAACAACTACCCTCCCAAACATTAAATGCAGGGTTAGAGAACCAAGGCCCACTTCTTCTTGTCTCTAAGTATTGACTAATCCTCAATTATCTGCTAATTCTTTTATGTTGTTGCCAACTAACTCCGCTATTCTTAAACCCTCAACTTCCATTATTCAAACACAACATCTACATCATCTCTGGTTTGTTAACCTCTTAACCTCTATCTGACCTTAATTTTTTAAAGAAATTTTCTAAATAAACTCATTCATATTTTTTTTTCTAAAAATAGACCACCTTGAGTTTTATTTACAAAAATAGACTCATTTTATCTTAATCCGATTCCTAAATAGTCGGGTTGTCAACCCCGACTATTTAGAAGGTTATAAACCCCCAATTATAACCCTAAACTCTAACATTCTATGCACTAAAAATAGTCTGGGTTGGCAACCCCGACTATTTAGAAACCGGATTAAGACAAAATGGGTCGATTTTTGTAAAAAAAACTCAAAAAAAACTCAACGGGGTCTATTTTTAGAAAAAAAATTATGAATGGGTTTGTTTAGAAAATTTCTTCTTATTTTTAACATCAGTAGCTCTTAAAAACATAATATAATAGCCAGCTATATTCTTTTCTTTACAAGAAAATTATTTGTTTCTTTTTGTTAGTTTTGAGAGTAGACTAACCTGCCCTTACTATGCACATATTAAAATTGATATATTGTCCAAACCTTGTACATTGAATTCTTTTTTTTTTAAACACCAGTTAAATGCTCCGAACACAAAGTACTCTATTTTCATACAATGCAAAAATAACAAGGACGAGAAGAATAAATGGTGGGTTGAGTTATAATATGATTAGGCATAATTTGTACAACTTCTGTAGCTTTATTGTGTCGTTTCCTTAGCTAGCTAGCTCAGTTCAATAATAGCAGAAACTTTAGATGCCACTTACAGGTGAGCATGATCGATGTTTTCTGTTGAGGGTAGGATTTATTTTGTCTTTAAAAATCTATCCTTTGATATTCTCAGGCTTTCCTTAAATTTGCTTCGCCATTTCCATGGACTATATATAGAAGTCAAGTTGAAGTAATCTCAATGAGCACAAAGTACCCTATATCTTGGTTCATGTACGATCTCTTCAAAAATATTTCACATTAACAAGTTGAGTACAGACGCATTTGAACACGAGCATGTTGAAGTCAGCAGCTTCCTCCCCCATCTAACCCCCCACCTAACTTGCAACAGTAATCAACAATTCCTTAGTAGTATTTACCTACCCTTAAACTAATGTTATAAATAACCCCCAAGTGTTTGTGTTAGATCCATCCCAGTAGCACGGAGAGAGAGAGAGAGAGAGCTTGTATTAGAGTATTGAGTTTGTACTACTAAAAAAATAATAACAATAATTTCTTAGTGTCCACCACTCCTCTCATCTCAACAAGTGATATCAGAGTCTGGGTACGTGTATCTGCTTATGTATGCTCTGTGGCAGTCACCAAATGTGGATTCTCCACATTAGAAAATAAGTTAGATTATCATTTACCATTTGAAGGCACTGTGCACTATTCATAAGTACGTTACTATTCATAAGTACGATCACTATTCACGAGTAAGGTTACTGTTCATAAGTATGATTACTGTTCGCGTGAAATAGTAGAAGTTGCAGCTCATGATAGAAGCAAAGCGTTTAGGGACCAGCTCTCTCCTACAATGATTCTATCGGCATTATTGAAGGCCGAAGTTCGTGCTCAGTCAGGGACTGTGAAGTCGGTTGGTCAGGGACCAGACTTGCATGGCGATGCTGAAATAGTACCACGTCACGATGACAGATCTAGCAAGTACAACTACGACATTAAGAAACTCAATGGCAATAACTACAGCTACTGGGAGACTTGTATAAAGTCCTATTTACAAGGAAAAGACCTCTGGGAGGTCATCAGGGGTTCTGAAACTACAGCACCTCGGGAGGCTGGCGAAGTACTAAGGAAGTGCAACATCAAAGCCGACAAGGCTATGTATGTGCTAAAGACAATAGTAGAAGATGATCTCGTAGATTACAAACGAGATGCTAGAACTCCGAAAGAGGCATGTGATACTCTCACCATACTCTTTTCGAAGAAGAATGATGCTCGACTTCAACTCCTGGAGAATTAATTGATGACCTTGCAATAAAAGGATCTGACAACCAATCGGTACTTCAAGCAAGTAAAATCATTTTGCATAGATATCGCTCAACTAGATCCAGATTCTAAAGTATCTGATGCAAGGATGAGGAGAATAATCATCCACGGTTTGAGATTGGAGTACCACGAGCTCGTTGCCGCTACTCACGGATGGTCGACTCGGCCAACATTATTAGAGTTGGATATCTTGCTCGCTACACAGGAAACCTTAGCCAAACAAATGGCTGGAGTTTCAATAAAAAGCGAAGATGAGGCACTTTTCAACAACAAGGAGAGAGGCGAACTAAGAGGCGCGAGCAAAGAGGAGTATGGCTCAAGGAGGCAGTCAAGATGGCATATGCCGGCAGAACACAACAAAGTGAGGAGTAAGGTGATCGTCAAGTAATGCGACCTAATGTTTGCTACTATAACTGCAGAAAGAAAGGTCATTTTGCCAAAGATTGCTGCTATAAGAGAAGGGCTGAAGAGGGTAATGCTGTAACTTGCGCAGATGTCAAGATGATAAAGAAGAATGTGATGCCTAAGCATCTGTGGCCATCGCCGAAGAAGCATCACGGGGTGAAGAGGAGGTCATTGATATGGCACTAACTTCGACTGTGGAAGAATATGAGTCTGCACTTGCAGTGGTTTCAAGTCGAGAAGAAATCTGCTATAGTAAAGATTGGATCATCGATTTTGACTGCTCCAACCACATGACGGGAGATAAGTGGAAGCTTGTCAATATGAAGGAGTATAAAGGAGGCCGAGATGTAGTGATAGCAAATAATTCAAAATTGCCTATCACTCATATTCGGAAAACCACATTCATGCCAAGCTTCAATCTAGATCAAATTCAACTACAAGATGTGTACCATGTCCCAGGTATGCAGAAAAATCTCATATCAGTGTCTCAGTTGACGACTTCCGGAAATTATGTGGTATTCAAGCCACAGGATGTCAAAGTCTAGAGTAACTTAAAGCCCTCTAAAGAACTTGTTATGGAGGGACGGAAGGTGGAATCGGTCTATGTGATGTCAGCAGAATCAGCATATATAGACAAGGCTAGGAAAAATGAGACGACTGATTTGTGGCATGCTCGGCTTGGCCATGTGAGCTATCACAAGCTCAAGGTCATGATGGAGAAGTCTATGTTGAAGGGTCTTCCACACTTGGATATTTAAGGAGGGACCATATGCGGAGGTTGTTAGTACGGTAAGCGCATCAATTATCGTATCAGGAGTTATAGTTCAGAGCCAAAGAACTTTTGGAGCTTGTACACTCAGATGTATTTGGTCGAGTAAAACAAGAATCAATTGGTAGGATGCGGTACATGATCACTTTCATCGACGATTACTCGAGGTATGTCTGGGTTGATTTTATGAAGGAAAAGTATGAAGTACTCTCCAAATTCAAGCAA